TTTTTTTCAAATTAAAGTATATTACATAAGCTTTAATTTAAGATATATATAAAAGTGTCAGTCTTTCCGGAACATTTTCAAAAGTTAAGTTGAAAAAGTTCTACTTTCTATACGCATTTTAAAAGGTTTGCACCCCCCCTGTATAAAGGGAAATGGTCCGATTTTAAAAAAAAGTATGTCGAATGAAAGAAGTATATATAAAGTATTTATCATTAAAGAATAAAGTTGATTCATGCATTTTTTAAAAAGTTATAGCATCATAATGTTAAAAAATGTAAAATATAATATCAAGAATTTTTTCACAAAAATAGCATATTTTTGTATACGGTAGTCATTTATACCATGAAGACAAGTCCAAATGTCAAATTTTTTTTTTTCAAATTAAAGTATATTACATTAGCTTTAATTTAAGGTATATATAAAATTGTCAGTCTTTCCGGAACATTTTCAAAAGTTAAGTTGAAAAAGTTAATTTTTTGTAAAAAAGTTACCATTTTGAAACCCCATCCTTTGGGCTGTTAAAGGGTCAAATGTTCACAAAAATATATAAAATGATAGGTAATTATCTAAGGTATCTATAAAAAAAAAAATTATATTGATTCGGTCATTTTTAAAAAAGTTATGGCAATATTAAGTAAAAAAAAATGAAAAAATATCGAAAATTAGCGATTTTTAAATTTGTAATTTTTTGGGGGATTTCCCCCGTTTACGGGGAACGAGGGAATTTTTTTCAATTTTTGAGGGTAATGTCTTCGACTAGATACGATTTGTGATCTTTTGACATATTGTTCATCAAAATCGGTCCAGCGAGAGCTGAGATTGAGCGTTCACAGACACAAAAAAAAAAATAAAAAAAAAAAAAAAAAAATAAAAAAACACATCATAGTAAAATTAAAATGTTCTACCTTATTTATTGGCTAGCTTACATTAAAATTGACTTATAAAATATAATATTTATTTTTTATGAAAAATCTCCGCTTAGTCCAAAATGCAAAAAGTAGAGTTATTGTGAAATTAGCGTTTTTATGTGCCGCAAAAAAGTGTTTTCATTACATTGTGAATATCTTTAATTTCAATCAACCGTTTTAATTTTTTTATGCAAAATTAAATATTATTAAGTACCTATAACAATTTTTTAAACAATTTTTGATTTGAACTTGCTATTGAAAATACATTTTCTTTATGCACACTAAGATTTTTTCCCTAAGAATCTTGAAAATAATAGCGATGAACATGGTGAACGTTTTCACCAACAAAAAGGTGATATAGAACACCATTACCAAGAATCTTTGGATGGAGTAATGTTGGGTGACTATTATTGGTTTCTTATAAGAGAAAGCAATGAAACACATAAAAAGATATTAAAAATGATTTGACTCGTTTTTAGTTAAATGAAACTGATTCTTTGGTAGTCATCAATTGAATTATAAAATTATAATTGTTTTTTTTTTTTTGAAAGCAATGAGCAAAAGAAAAACTTATTATATATTTATTTTTTACATCACTCGTAAATTTTACATCATTATTTTTCTAAATTTATAAAATTTCAATTTTCTTTATCCTAAAGCAAATTACTGAATATTATTAGAGAATTTAAATAAAAATGTTTGAATCAACCCTAAGATAATTAAAAATCGAAATTTCCTTCAACATGTAATATTGTAAGTAATTTTGCAATATTTTTATCTCTTTTTTACAAAATTACAAAAACACTGAACATTGGAAAAAATTGTTTTATTTTTTCAATCGCAAATAACTTGTTGAGTTTTTGATCAATATAATATATAATTTTCATTGTTATATTAGATTATAACGTCTATGGAATATGTTGTTGACAAATTTATTTTTTATTTGGTGAATTTTACGTAAAACTCTGAATTTTTCTGTTATTTTTAAAAAGAATGATAAAATTCGGTGGTAAATTTGTAAATAGTAAATGAGAAAAAGTCAGACCAAAAATTGTGTTAAGAAAAAAGTTTTAGATAGTTTAATATTGTTTGATTTTATGTAAAATAAATAATTTAACGCTAATTTCACAATAACTCTACTTTTTACATTTTGGAATCGGGGCAAGATTTTACATAAAAAATGAATATAATATGTTATAGGTCGATTTTAATGTAAACCAGCGTAATCTTTGCATAATATCGCGTCACTTTCGCTGGCGCCGTCGACTGTGCGCTGGTGCAGTGCGACACGTCCGGAGCAGGTTGCATACATCCTAAACGTTGTCATTTACATAATATTATACTAATAATAACATATTATTATTATAATATTCTTAACGGCGTTAAGAAGACTCGCTTATCACTTGCAGCTGTTCGTCATGTGGCACTTGCTGAACTTTGTACCATGCGCGTATAGCACGCGGTGTTAGTCAGTCAAATTATTATATACACGTAGTAGAGCGATTGCTGACAATTTGGCGTGGGTCGCGGGGCTCTGTGTATCTCGAAGCGACGGACAGTGTCCAATACCCCCCCCCCCCGCGCGAAGTTATTGGTCTACACTCTGTCTTGTCAGTCCAGAGCGGTTGGAAATTAGATCACGTTCAGTTATTCATACCGCGTATTGCAGCGAAGGCCGCACACCTGATGTTGTTTGTTGGCTATTCTAGGGGGCGAGTGCGTGTATGTTCGTTTTACAAACAAGCCTGTTAAGACAGAGTCATATCATTCTATGGGTTCCTTCACGGGTCGCTGTTCCTCTTCTGCTGATGTTAATGTTGTTGTCGCTTCTGTGTTTTTACTACTGTTATTGTTGTTGAAGATGATGTCTCTTCCGTGTGTGGAGACGTCAGCCCTTGTTTCACTGGTGAAGTGGGTGTGGAGTCTGTCCGTACTTTACGGTCGGATGTTGTTATGTCGATAAGCGTTGTGCGTCCAACCGTGTCAATAAAACCCTATAAAATAGGTCGCTTTGCATCTAGACGAGCTGTTCAGGCGATATTATCCCGAAACATTACCTGGTGTGTCAAAAAAGTACGTCACGGTACAGATTATCTAAGATCACGACTGTATTATTCATTTCTAGATCTACTGTGTTTGCAGTATTGGTGACGGCGGTGTGTGTTGTGTGGTTGTCTAACGGCTTGCGAGTCCTTTATGTACAATTCCGAATTTGTGGGTGATTGCCAGAGATTTATTCGACTATTGCGCTTGTGAGTTATGTAATGCCGAGACGAAGTCGGTCGCCAGTTGTAACTCAGCGGAGGGAGTCGTAATTTTACGCTGGTCAATACTTGGGAAGTTTACGATCCCAACGGGACCGTGTTAAAATGAATTACATACAGTCACTAATTATGTTATTTATAATATTATCGATAAAAATGTTAAAATTATCAAACTGATGAGTTATATGTAAATTAATTAAAGAGTATAATTTATGTGATTACAATGTAGAAAATGAAACGACCCCATGTCAAGAAGAATTTGATAATGACAGTGTACTCCAAGTACGTATGCATTGAATCATGCAAAAAAAAAAAATACTTTATAATCGGTATTTTTTTTTTATTTTTGAGGTATAATTAATTTTCTTTGACATCCTCTTAAGTAATTTATTTAAGAATATAACCAACTTCATTTATTAATTACTACAGTAAAATTTATTTATAAATTTAAACACCTAAAGCTACTTTTTATGAATTAAGATGTTATTTAATATCAAATTATAATTAAATTACTACAGTATTATTAACTACAATTCCTTAAAAATCATCATTATTAGCAACAAAAAAAAAATCATCCAAATAAGGATACATTATTTAAGTAAAATAACTTTTGATGTATTACAGGTAGAAGGAAACCAAGGGACAAATTGTGAAGAACAAAAATTCCGTGGTAACTAAAATTAATATGTTGTATAGTATATTAAATGCTTATTAAAAAAACATACGAATTTACTATCTAAATTTTGAAAAGTATGTTTGACATACGAGTGATCAGTATATCGTAAACCACTCGATTAATCTCAAAATAAAATCAATATTGAAAAAACAATTTAGTTTTTTAGTTACATATAATTCTTGATTTATTAGCTATTAATTACATTTTAGTATCATCCCTTATAACGCATAGCAGTATCAACTTTATTTTTTTTAATGGTAACATAAATATTCAATAAGCTTATAAGATAAAAATTTATTTAATTAAGAAAATTAATGATCGAATTATTGGACAAGTACTTTGGTTGTTATTCTCATTTTTCAAACTAGGCGAAACGACAAAATGGGAAATAACTAGTGATACAAATAGCAGAACCCATTTTTCAGCTTCAGTTATTACTATAAATTGATAATAACTTTTGAAATACTAGTTCAAAAGTTGTTATCGATCATTTTCTTAATTAGATTATTTACCATTTTATGAGTTAGTTAAATATGTCTGTCATCATTTAAAAAAAATCAAATTGACACCGCTTTAAGTTCTAAAAAGTAACTATTAGCTAATAAATTGATAATTATATGTAACTAAATGATGTAAAAAATTGTTTTCCTAATATTGTATTCACTTTGCGAGTAGTATAGTGATTTTTAATGAACCTATTACTATGTAAATATTGGTTTTTAGTTTAACTTATAATTTATCTATTTATTATAAATTTAATTGTTTTCGAAGTATTGGCTTAGGATAGCAATAGTTTAAAAACATAAGTAATAAATAAATATAAAATAAAAAGTTGATTGTAAAAAAGTATAAACATTTTTTTAGAGAGTTTGTTGGAACCGCCAATAATAGAAAGTAATATATTAAAAATATAATAAACAACATTAGTTCTCTGATGGAGTACCCATCGTGATAGATACGTCATCAACTAACGATTTTTTAATTACTACTATTTAGATATAACTGAATACATCCGTTCCTTAAGTGAGAATTCTCCTGAAGTATCGAATGTCTATTTATCTTCTCCAATGGATAACTACATGATTGCTGACAAAGATGGTAATTACGGTTCTGGTTATCGATGTATTCAGATGTTGTTATCTAGTGCTCTGTTAAATGAGGATTATAAAAATCATTTGGTCAACATGTGGAAAAACTTGCATAGTACAACAATTTCGCGTTCCAAAATGCCAAATGTGTTATTTCTGGAAAACCATTTAGAAGAATGTTGGAATAAGGATATTCAAAAATGGCGTAAAAGAGAATTGTATAGTAAAAGTAAATATCCCACCAGATTGGGTATTACTATTTGTGATATAGATTCAATACTTTTGCTATTACGAATTAAGTAAGTTATTTGGATGCACTTAAATAAATTTAAATATTTTGAATAATTTGTATTAATTAGAAAAATTATGTACATTTTTTTCCAGGTTAGGTTATACAATTTTTGATCGAAAAAATAACCAAAATCACATTCAAGATATGTTTAAATGGTTACATGATTATTTTCGAAATGAACATAACAAAAAATATGTATCGCCAGTAATGCTACAATATCAGAGTATCCTAACAATTATTAAATTTTACGATTATTTAGTAGGACAGGGGCGTAATTAAGTGGGAGGTTAAATCCACTCAGAACAATGATAATTACATAATGAATATTCATTGTTTTCTTTGTTTGGGGAGGATGGTATTGAAGAAATTATTTATGTTCCCCACCAGATCAAAACCCTATGACTTTATTTTCAATGTCAATAGTATTTTTAGAAGGTTTTCGAAATAATTAAGGGTTTTTACTATACTGGGTGATCCGTTAATTATAAATCATTTAATTACTCGTAAAATCAGTACGATATCGAAAAAAACATTTTGATTTTATAGTTAACCCAAAACTTTTATTTAGTTATATATATTGTAATGTTGTAGAATTTGTACTAGTATTTCCCTGGGCAGTGGGTAAATAGTAGGCCCTCTGGTTTGGCTGAAACATTAAAGTATTATTTGATTTATCCGTTATTAATGATATTTTAGCATCATTCCTTTTAACTTGTCGAGATTTTTCAAACGGCAACACACACATTTAACTAATTTTTAAAGTAGGTAATGATTTAATTAAAAAAATCATCAATAGTTCAAAAGTTATTAACATTATTTTAAATTATCAGCAAGAGGAGTACGGTCAAGAAATGCTAAATGATAGNTATCAGCAAGAGGAGTATGGTCAAGAAATGCTAAATGATAGTCATACCAGCACTTTTCCTCTAGTCAATATTTTAAAATGCTTATAACTTCCGAATTAATGATCCAAAAGTTGTTATCGATTTTTTTAATTAAATTGTTTTATATTTTGTAAGCTAGTTAATCATATATGTTGCCATTAAAAAAAATAGTTAACACCCCAAAAAGTTTTTAGACATAATTATAAAAAGTAATTAACAGCTGATAAATAAAAAAATTAATGTAACTGAATAAACACAATGTTTTTTTTTCTATATTGTATTTTATTTACAAGTTATTTAGTTTTTTATGACTAACCTTAAAAATTGTATGTACACTCAATTTGATGGTTTATACATTTCTAATTACAGTTGTTGCGAAGCTTATTTTATTTTTAGCAAATAAAGCTATCCATTTACCTACAAATCAGTCGGTTTATCAAATTTACTAAGTTGTTATTAATAATTTACAAGTTATTAATTGATTTATGATAAACGCAGTACTCTGTATTTACTCAATTTGTTAGTTTATTGATTTTTAATTACAATTTCTGCAAATATTATTTCACTCTTAGTAAATAGAATAGTTCCTTATAAAGCCTCATACCTGTAATTAAGCCGCTTTATCGAATTCGTCACACAATCACTATTAAACTCTTTATAATATTTTATGAAAATAAAATTATTGTTTAAAAAAAATATATATTATATTTAGATTACATAGTGATGGTTGTTGGTGTGGAAATTAGAAAAAATACTCAAATAGTACCGTTAATAGTGTGCCCCAGTCAGGATTATACTGAAATAACAACTGAACATGGAATAAACGCTTTAAATATCATACGGTCATCTGAACTTACATTAAACCACTCAAGCTTTACTGTTATTACAATTAATGGGATTATAACTACTGATGCAGAATATGATGTAATAATTTAAAATATTTTTATGAAAATTTAATAAAAGTGCTATTTGCTTCTAATCAATTTAAGATAAAGCTTTGAAAACGCCTCTGAGGGTTCAGTATTTTAATTTAATTTTATGTAATATTTACATAAATCATTTATAAATATAACAAATAATTTTAAGTTTTATTACCCCTTTTTATTCTAGACCTTTACCATTACAAATTCTTTTTGTAAAAAAGTTTGTTGTTATTCGTAACATAAAATACAATATGTGGCATATTTATATATATATTTTTAGTAAAATAATTAAACTCTTTACACTTAGCGATAGAGACATAAAGTAGTATAACAAGATAATGACATTTTTTTCGATAAATTAAAAAACATTATTTCTCATGACATTTTCATTGCTCTTAATTGATCAAAAGTTATCAGCTTTGTCAATATATCGTGGACACAAATTGTATAATTACATTATAGTTTCAAACCCTAATTATCATAATTCTTACATTATTTTACTGTTTCTACACTCCTGAGTTTCTCAGAACTACTTAAATGGTACAAATTGATAAATATATTAAATAAATGTATTTTTTATATGTATTTTAGGCGATGAAATGTTCGAAATTTAGAAATCAGAACGTTTTATAAAAAATACAAACCACGAAGCAAAACAAAATTGTTTTAATTATTATATATTGAATGTTGTTGTTGAATATTTTTTATTATTATAAAAATTAATACATTATAGAATTTTTGTGCAATTTGCATATTATTATTTTTTGATTAAATAAATAGCTTGGATAAATTAATATGACTTATATTTATAGGTTACATTATTATATTTTTAGTCATTCTTATAAATCTTTTCTCATAGTTTCTGGTTATATGTCTATTTACAACATTTTTCCTATGATGTTTTCTTCTCCTATTTTACCTCTTGTACTTCATGTAAAATGTCTTATTAATATTCTATTCCTCGAAAAATACTCAATTCAATTTAATATATCCAGTCATACAACACCGAATCTCTCTTCTCCAATAATATTCTTGTAATTATAACCATTTTAATATCTTTTAATGAATTAAGTTTTACTTTGTTAAGTTAAGTTTGATAACAATTTAGATATACGGAGTGTCCCACTTTTTCAGGCATCTTTATTAATAATATGTTTCTATCCAATGAATATTTTGCATTACTTTTTTTTAAGTTTTTACATATTTGACCTACGTTAAAAGCATTTTTTTTATTAATTTTTTCTAATAAGAAAAAAAAAATTTTTTTTTGAAAATTTTATTGAAGTTTTAAAATAACCATTTTTTAGTCCTTTGGTTAGTTTTTCCTCTTTAACAAATTTAGAATAACCATTTATAGAGTTACAAGCATTTTAATAAATAGAATGGGTATGTAACGCAAGTGGGTTCAGCTCGTTCTGTTGCATAATTATAATGTATATTTCATCATGTGGGTGCATAATATCTATATAGTATTTATTAATATTAAACCTTATTTATATATTTAGATTTAGTAAAATTTTAAATACTTAACAAATAAGGTTGATAAAACTTCAGTTAAGTTTAATTAAATGTTTACTTTTAAACGTTCAAATTTTATTAAGTTTAATATGGTATGGCAATCTAAGTTAACCCCAGTTGGTTCGTGCACAAATAAAAAAGTAGTCGATAATGATTATCGTAAGGGCACTGGGTCGTTTATAAAAATATGTGTCACATTAATGGAATTACATATTTATATATTTTTATATTCACCGCATCTCCTACTGCCACTACTGTAAATTTAATTATTAATTATTAATTAATTATCAATTATTTTTTTAATTTAACCCAATCTTTAGTCTGAATTTATTAATATTCTAAATAATCATAGTAGATATTAAATATTTGAGTTGGGCTCCCTGAGATCAATCCAAATAATTTACCTAACCCAACCCGTTCACTTCTTACGTTACAGTAAGAAATGAGAGTGTCGGGGGTATACTATGGACATATACTATGTAAAAAAATGTATAATTTATTAGAAAAAACAAGTTAAATTGTACTTGATAGGTAATTATGAGAAAGAAATGATTAAATGGAAAGGATATAGATAGTATACGTGTATATGGTTTTCGATTCGCCGAGTTTATAATTGATTTTGTTACATTAAAAACTCTTAAAAATAGCTATTTTGAAATCCTGAAAAAAATAATTAATAAAAACTGTTTATAATTAATAACAAGACGATCTATGTTAGCAAAAGGACTTTTTATAATATAGCTTATAATAATATATAAGCGTCTACTGTTGTAGCAGAGTATTTCTACTGGAAGTACAGAATTCTTGTAACGATTGCCAAGGCCGAACGTGACGAAGATACGTTAAGCCCAGAGAGCACTGGAGCTGGTGTAAAGCTCTATCTAGGCACAGCCTAGTGTTTGTATAAATAAATATGTGTACAGTGTTATTTTTTAAGGACAAGACACTCATTTTGTTGGCAACTGTTGGAATTTTTAAATGAAAAATAATGTTTGTTTCATAAACCTCTACGTGTGGTTGAATTAATTTTCATGCCTTTAGGGATAAAAAAACCTTAACTTTAATTTTCTTTAATATAAATTCCTATTTTTAGAATTATTTTATATTACAGGATTTTACAATTTTTATAATAGTATAAAATAATGAGAACAGTTTTGTTTTAATAATTTTTTTATTCGATGAACCATTCAACTGTTATTACTTGGTTAAGTTTAGTGATTTGTGACTTATTTTTTAACGATAATTTATTGTTTATCGTCAATAGTCGTCATTTGTTGCAGATAAAACTACATATAACTCATTATAAACATTTTTTTAACAATTTATGTCAATTAAAAGACACATACTCTTATATTCAACGCAAGTTTATATTGTTGAACAAATTGTGTGGAAAATTTTTCTTGACAACTTCCATAAAAATAATTTATATTTAATATATTGTATTAGATTATTGTTGTCACCAGTATTATAAAAACCAAATTAAAAATTAATTCGTATTTTAAATTCTCATCTTTAAACAATTTTAAAACGCAAACGAGTAGATGTATTTTATACTGATTGGTTTGGTTGGGTTTTCATAAAGTATTATGATAATAAAAGCCAGTAGAAATTTTAACATAAAAAATATGTAGGGCTACACTGAAAAAGAAAATTTAGTAAAATCAACAAATTTATGATTAATATACAGCCGACAGTAATTTTTTATTGGTTAAACAAAAATGTTTGTTAGTACAATAAAGAATTTGTCAAGCTAATAATTGTTTTGTTCCGGGAACAAAAATATGATTTACAATAAGAAAATTGTTGGCTGTATTTTTTTTCAGTGTAATTATAAATTTATGTTACAAGATAAATTATATTAGTTATGTTAAAAAAATTCTCTATTATTCAATAAATCAAATAAAACATTATATTAAATCGTATATTTTAATTCTTATTTGCAAATAAGTTGAAAAATATGATTAAAGTTTTTTTGTCATCGTTCAACATTATTCTAATAGATAAAATTTAAATAGAATTGTTCTGTTATATAAATAAAAAATACTTTATAAAAATCTAATCTAATAAAAATATGTATAATTAAGATTTCATTACACATTTTATTTTATCGATAAATCATACAAATTAAAATTAGTGACACTTGTTACAAAGTAATAAAAAGCATAAAGAAGGTAAAATTAGATTGACATTTAATAACACTATTACTATATTTATTGGAACTCTAAAAAAATATTACGAATCTGTTTTATTTTCATAGTATTTAATTTAACAATTTACCTAAATACATACACATTAATATAATTGAATATGACTAATATACAAATTTATAATTTGAATTATACACATATTAATACAAAAAGTGATTTTATTTTCATAACTATTAATAACACTACGAGTCTCACAAAAAACGACGTAGAAAAACATCTTTTGTCATCATTAATCATAAAAAAAAATATAATTTTGTCAAATTTTGAGAAACGCACTGTTGCAGTATAAGCAACTACGCGATCAATAAAAAACTATTTAAGCGCATTGGATCTGACCAACATGATTAAGGAGGAGTATAGGTGTAGCGTCAATCGTGGATAAGATGAGAGAAAATAGACTTAGACTTGTTTGGTCATGTTTTGAGGAGAGAAGAATCGAAAGCTGTAAGAACAGTTATAGAAATGAATGTTGAAGGAAAAAGAGGTAGAGGAAGACCAAAAAAGAGATAGAGGGATGCTATTGAATGCGATATGAGGACAGCTAATGTGGAGCGTTGATGATGTGGGAGATCGTGTCATTTATTTGAAAAAAATTTATCGCCTATCCGTTTTTCACGTGAGCATTTCCCGTGTCATCTACGTTTTTTGCGTCTCGACACATCTCACCCTTTATTTCACGTGTTAGTACTTTAAGATTAATTGTCATACATCAGTCTCAATACTCAATTTTATTGTCCGACTTTTTATCTTATGTCAAAAGTTTGTATGTTTATTCTTGACGCCTTGGCCTACTATTGTATCCTCAGATATTAAACTCAGGAACTAATGTCTTGCACCTCGTTGTTGTAGTATTGATTTTCAATAATTTTTAAAAATTAATTCAATCCTAATTACCTAAGAGTTTACCTAAACTTGAGTTTTATTATTTTTTGGAATGAAGTGGAGTCTGGTAAAAATAACATAATCTATCGTTTTGATAGTATGAGTAGGAAAGAAAAATGGATTGTGTAAGTTGACACCCTCAAACTTCAATTGAATCTCTAATAGAAAATATTCACCGCAAAACTGGAATTTTAGTAGAAATACTACTTGATACATTGAGATAACTTTGGGATAATGCCTATTAAATATTATTAATTATTTTAATTGAGCGTTTATTGTCAATTACAACTTTATCAATAGTAATACTTTCTGTATGATCAGTTAGTGTATTTATAAACTCACAACAATATGCCTTACTTAAGCATTTCTATTGATAAAGTCATAATTAACAATAAACATTGCGTAGCTGTGAATAGCAACATCATAAAAAAGCAATTGGCTACCTGTAATTGTAATTCCACGTATATTATACATGTATAACTCAAAAATTCGAAACATTAAAGTTATATATCTAATTAAAGAAATTAAGATATGTTAAAAATTCAATACATTAAAGTTATATATCTAATTAAAGAAATTAAGATATGTTAAAAATTCAATACATTTGTTTTCAATCCTAATTGCCTAGAATTTTACATAAACGTATGGTTTACTATTTTTCAATTCTTTTAATGAAATTTTTTTTTTTTCAATCAAGTTTCTGATCAAAACATATTTTTATCATTCTAATAACTGGGCTTCGCCGCAGATCTGTGGATCCACATGCCTCCTCACGCGACTATGTCGTGTAAAGCCCTTTAAACCGTCTCTATAAGCAGATTTTATGCCTTATAGCACATTTCTTTTATACCATTATTTTTTAAGAATTATAATTTAAACGTATCATTTGTTATTATTTTACTAAAAATCAAGCTGAGTGATGTACATACTATTGAAAGAGTTACATCTATTATTATTAATTTATTGATTTTTATAGAGTTTATATTTATTAATTATTATTGAGCCAAAAAGACTAAATTAATTTATTATTATTTATTAAAAACTTGAGTTATTTAGTTTGAAGGATTAGACAATTGCACATCATACGCATTAATCACTACATAGATTTATACACTGGTTTTATGAAGACGACTCCTCTCATAACTACTGACTCTATTTACAATTCATTACACTCTAACAGTTTGATTAACCCTTGGAGAGTTATTTCTGCTAACTGATCGAAGGTTAACAAAGTATAAACATTGGGTAATTAATTTACCACTTATTGTCACCAGCCCAAACACAAATTATCTTATACAGAGTGAAACGCTTATCACAAACATTTTGTTCTTTAACTATTAGCTATGAAATACTTTAAAAGTGCCTTTTTATGACGTGTACAGAAGTCAACTTAGTTTTTTCAAATGGGAACATATATTTTGCATTTAATAAAATGCTTGATATTTGATAATTTTTAATTGAGTTTGAATTGTTAATATAACTTATTCGTTTATTATGTATAATAGGATTAAATTTTTAAATTAAAATACATGTAAAATATACGAAGGAATATATTAATAAATAATAGATTTAATAGATTCGGTTATAACAAGCCGATTCGAAGTTATGCAGCGATTACTGTCATCACCACTCAACAGTATCACAATTGGCAATAATTGCTGCATTATTGTAAACAGCCACGTTTTAAAAAAACCAATCGTCAAATAATTCGCAAATGACTTAATATTTCAAATATTTCTATTTATAATTTTTTTTGTAGCTATTGCAATAAAAGATATCTTTATTTATTTATTTAAGCTCACAATAATACCTTATGTTATAAAGCAACCATATTATATCATTTTCCCAAAACAGATATAAGAAAACAAAAACATATTTGTTCATTTAAATTGTTTTCGTTTTTAATTGTTTTGAAAAATTGTTCAAAAATCTATAATTTATTTAAATAGATTGTAAATACTATATTTAGGTTTCAATGATTAGTTTTGTTAAATAGATAAATATTTTACAATGAATTTTGATTCAATTTTAATATTTCTAATTTTTACAACTTACAGTATGTATATATGTATTATTTTTTTACACACTTATATAGTACATTTAATTATATTATATGATCAACATGAATCAAATTACTTAATTTAATAAATTTTGATTATATGTTACTGTTTCAGGATCATTTTGTTGGAAGTTATCAAACAGTAAATATTTTTGAATATACAGTTTTAATATTACATACATTTCTTTTTAGTCATAAACGTAATGCGATTTAAAATTTTTTAAATATTGTATTATTTATTATTGTCATATATATATAATTATAGTAAAAGTAAACTTTATATTAGTAAACTTAGTACTCAAATTTATTACATAGTCATTAATAATATTATTTATAATATTCTGTAAAAATGTTAAGATGATCGAACTTATGAATTATTGTGCAAATTAATTAAAGAGTATAATTCATATGATACAAATGTAGAAAATGCTTTAATTCGTAAAATCGCCTTTAAGTTATTAATTTTGATTTCAAACTTAATATTTTACTCAATAAAATATATATTTACGAATTGCAAAACATAAAGAAAAGTACATTTAAACGTTTTTAGACGATTTTGAATGTCCATTCTGTAGTATTAAAGAATCTAGCGCTTGTCATTTGATTTCACATATCAACAATGAGCACACAGAAAATGAAATTACCATATGTCCCGAATGTTATAAAGAATTTCAATATGGTAGTATACTCGAAGTACATATACACCTAAATCATGCAGAAAAAAATACTTTACAATCGGTAACATCTATTTTTGTGTTTTAATTTATTTTTATTAAACATCCTCTCAAGTAATCAATATAACATATAATTTGTTGTTTATCTGTTGATAATATTAACGACTTTAGTTACTAATATTAGCAGTAAAAATTATTTATAGTTTTAAACACCTAAAGAAACTTATTATGAAACAAGACGATATCTAAAATCAAAACCTATTATAATTTCTTTAATATTATTAACTATGATTTCTTAAAATCATCATTAGTATTAAAAAATACAATAGTACATTGTGGACGTGGCATAGTTGGGTCAAGTATACATGAAATCTGACAGTGATTAAAATCACTATCATAAGAAATGCTTTGACACAAATCTGTAGATAGTGTTCCATTTTAAAAAAATTGGTTGATTATTCCAAAAGCAATATCAACTCATATTTTCTTAATTATATCCTGATAAATAGTTTTTTGATTTGTATGTTTAATTTATAAATAAATACTTATTATATTAAATAAATTTAACATTAAAACGATATTCAATAATTTAATATTGTAATTAATATGGAGAAATTATAAAAAAATAATAGAGTAGTTGCATATTTCGTTAAATCTATGATGAACAAATATAAAAATTGAAGGACGTGATGTAATACTTCAAAAAAATAATTTTTTTGTTTTTTATGAATAAATACACTTATTTACATAGAATTTTCATCAGAGAACTGAATATAACGTTTTTAAAACCATTTTTGTACCGAATTCAAATCTGCAATTAGATTTTTTCTATCAACTCGTTTTCAAAATTTTGAGGGTAATATCTTTAACTAGATACTAGCTGTAGACATTTGACGTATCGTTGAAACGAATTGGTCAAGTGAGAGCTCAAAAATATAAATGAATGACAGAAAAATATACCACGTAGTAAAATAATTTTAATATGAATAATAAATTCATTCTCAGAGAAGACTAAAGTGATGGGATCCTGGATATTCATTTGAAATTATTCAATCTAACTGAGATAAAAATCTTTTTTGATAAAAATCATGAATTTTTTTTTAACTCAAAAAGAATTGTGAAAAAATGCAAAACAAAAAAATGTTGACATGGGAAGTACCCCAAGCGTGAAAAATTTTAGTATTACCGAAGTAATAACTGTACTAAGTATTTTTCGGTGTACAAAAAGGATAATTTAAAGTAAATTTTCAAAATTAATTGAACTTTATTATTCTATGTCAGTTAGATTCATTTCATTTTTATGAAAATAAGTGGATTCCTCATGTAAAGTATTTTAAAATAAAAAAACGCTTAGTTGTAAATTTTTTAAAAAGTAATAATAGTGTAAATTTGAATTTCATTAGTAAGAGGGAACAAGTTGACCTCGTTCCCCATAAATGGGGAAAATCTCCAAAAAAGTTTCAAATTTTAGCTTCGAAGCTGAAAAGGTATTAATTTTAATATAATGTGTTTTTTTTATTTTTTTGTGCCTGTTACCACTTTTTTTCAGGTCTCACCAAACCAATTTCTTTCAACGATACTTCGTTAAAACGATAAAAGATCATAAATCGTATCTAATCGAAGACATTACCCTCAAAAATTGAAAATTTTCCCTTGTTCGCCGTAAAAGACGGAAATCTCCAAAAAAATTACAAATTTAGAAATCGCTATTTTTTGCACATTTTTTCAATTTTTTTTGCTTAAAACTGTCATAACTTTTTCAAAAATGACTAAATTAATATAATTTTCCTTCAATAAATGCATGATATCTTTACTTTTCATTTGGTATATTTTTTTATAAATCTGACCCTTTACCTGCCTACAAAAGGGGATTCAAAACTTTTTCACAAAAAACGGCTGTGGCACTAAATTTTTTCTTAATTCTTTTTGAGTTAGAAAAAAATGTTTAACTCATTTGATTTTTATCTCATTTAGATTCAATAAATATCAAGGATCCATTACTGTAGTCTCTTCTCGTGAAAAGAAATTCATATTAATATTATTTTACTATGCGGTTTTTTTTTGTAGCTATCATTTATTTTCTCAGGTTTCACTTGACCTACTTTTTTGACAAATTTTTTTTTAAATTAAACGATATCTAAAGATTTGCATCGAAGCGTTTTTTATGATAGTGATTTTAATCATTATCAGATATTATTATACATGGCCCAACTATGCCACGTCTCCACTGTGCCGCGACCTTACTATGATGGGGTTTTTTAGTTAAAGTAAATTATTAAAATTAATTATTTTCTGAATATTTCAATTATAAAATATTTATAATCACCAAAAATTACTTAGAAATGATTACTATGATTTGTATTTAAGTGATCTATTACAATAATAATGAAAAAAAAAATATTGAGCTTTTCTGATAAATATACAATAAATAGTAATTATACAATTTCCTGACTGCATATTAACCTTAACAATACTATTATTTTATTCTCATAATATTAATCATTTTAATATAATTAATAATAGTAAATAATATAATCATAATTAATATTATAATATCATAATTTTAATATTTAATAATGAAAATTTCAAACTTTAAGTTGAGCTAAAAGTTATAGTAATAAATTCAACTTTTTTTATGATAATCCTTCAAAAAATCAACTTTAAAAGACCAAATAAATAGGTTAAAAATTATATTTTGCAGTTATTATTTGTACCATACATACTGGATCCAACTATACCACGTCCCCACTGTACTAGGTTTTTTTTCATGACTTTAGAAAACGATTTATAAGTTTAAAGTCAAAATAAATATTTACGAATAAAAAATTAAGGTAAAATGGTCCCTTTTTACCCCTTTCTTAATACGTCCATGCTGTTTACACTAATTTCTTAAAAAGACTTGATTCAACTGAGGATTCATTATTTCAATGAAGTAATTTTTTTTATTCAGGTAAATGAACCTGATTTTTTATATGCAAAACAATTACAGCAACAGTTTGATAAAGAAGCGTTTGAACAAGAGGATAATGAGAGACAACGAAAATTCAAAGGTATCTTAAACTAATGCATTACATAGTTTTATTAACGCTAACAAATAAAAAATAATTGAAATTCACCAATTATATTTTGAAAAATACATTGATATATTGTTATTCAATATGATTAAGAATTCTTGTTTTTTGTACAGACAAAGCGTTATGATATTTGTTATTATTAATTAATTTAATCGTAAAGGTTCTTTAGAAAANGTAATTGTAAAGGTTCTTTAGAAAAATTGTTCTCATACCATTTTTAGTCATTATTTATATTACATTAAACAAATATGACTCATAGTAGTGACAGTGTAGATTGAAAGCTGATAGTAATTAATATCAATTTAACAAAATGCTTTAAAGAGAATGTACACAAAGAATGTTTCAAAAACCATAATTGATTATCTGTAGGAATTGGTTTTTCCATACTCTCTCTATACACCTAAAGATTAGGCACTAAAATGAAAAAAACGCAGATAATTTTTTATATAACGATTCAAATAATATTTCTGAATTTCGTAATATTTATAAAAAAATGTATTTACTTCTTTAACTGTGATATCCATTTACATATAGTAGAAATAACCAGATATCTTACAAAAACAAAAACACAGTAATATATTAGCATCACATCGATGATAAAAACAAAAATTTTTTTTTCGTCATTTGAGTAACGGTTTAATATAGTTTTATTGTCGATTATCAAATATTAAATAATAAATAAATATTAAAAGAAAATTTATTTAAACAATTTATAAATGAATTATTTTCAGAGAAATTTTTGGAACCACCTACAGTGAAAAGTAATATTTATAAATAACATAAATAATGTAATTCTCTAATGGTGACCAACAACTAACGATTTTTTGAACAATACTATTTAGATATAACTGAACACATCCGTCGCTTAAGTGAGAATTCCCCTGAAGTACGTGCTGTCTATTTAGCATCTCCAACAGATTACTATATGTCTGCTAGAGCTGATTTGAGATACGGCTGTGTTTTTAGATCGTTACAGATGTTGTTATCTAGTGTTATTCTAAATGCAGATTATCAAAATCATATCGTTAACATGTGGATAGAAAATTGTAATACAATAATTTCTCGTTCCAGAATGCCAAATGTGTCATTTCTGGAGTATCATTTAGAAGAAAGTTGGAATAAGGGTATTCACAATTGGCGTAAAGGACAATTGTATAGTAGAAGTAACTTTCCTACCAAACAAGGTTGTGTGGAAGCTGATATGGATGCAATATTTTTAGGAATGCGAATTAAGTATGCTACTTTGAAATATTTAAAACATTTTTTTTTTAATTAAAAAAATTCTAGAATGAATNCAGAATGAAATATTTAAAACATTTTTTTTTTAATTAAAAAAATTCTAGAATGAATATTAAAATATTTTTAATTTTTTTTACAGGTCTGAGTATATAATTTTCCAAGGAGGCTATTACAGAAATCGCCTTGATGATATGTTAAACTGGTTACGTGATTACTTTAGAAATGAAAATGGCAAAGAATATTTACCGCCGATAACGCTACTATATCCATGTAACATCAATTTTTTAATTTTATTGTTATGCGGCCATAAAGTGCAACACACATTGGTCCAAAACAAAATTTTAGCTGAACAAAATTCGGATTTAAAGATATTCAAAAACAAATCAAACCAATTATGAAATATTGATTTTGATGTTTCTTAGAAATAATCTTATGTTTTAAAATAACACTTGTACCTTTTCGTATTTTACGGCTACTTAAAATTTAAAGTTTTGAATTTAGTCACTTTTTTAAGCAAAATAAAACAATGTTGCATTTTGTAGTAAAAATATTCCAGTTTCAAAAAAAAAAAAATAATTTAGAGTTTGAAAAAATTGAGTGATACACGTGTTATATAAGATAAAAGGTCTAATAATTGATTAGACCTATTGTATAATAAATCCAATATCAATTTTGGAGAAAAAAAATTTAAGTTTAAGTCTATTACCAACAGTATAGTTAAATTTATAAAGAAAAAGACAATGTATTGAAATTGATTTTATTTATACAAATCAGCAATTTTATATTATGCGTATAGCACCCAATTTTTAACATACTTAGGTATATTTTTTGTTAGAATCTGGAATCTTTCTTTATAAAATGTATACATTTAAAATCATTACAAAAAAACATTTTATAAATTTAACTTTTTAAAATTATGTTGAAAACTTATTAGTGTCCTCAACTAAGTTAAAAAAAAAATAATTTTGTGAAATTTTCTTTTACATTTATTATGCATCATATTAAAGAGGGTAAAAAAATAATTCTTAATTTAATATTTATTGAAAAAAAATGTAACTTTGTTTTATTTCACCTATAATAAAAAATTTAAACTTTAAATAGCCATAAAATATGATACAATTTTTACCTTAAAATTTAAAATTATTTCTAAGGAACCTATCAAATTCGATATTGCATAATTGATTTGATTTTTTTTTTTTTTTGGAATGTTTTTTAATCGAAATTTTGTTTAGATAGAATTACATTTTGGACCACTGTACAACAGAACGTAATTAATGTTAGATCGACTCGAAAGAATAATAATTAATGACGAAGTTGCTCTTTTTTCATTTGGGGATAATTGGTAAATTATTACGTATAATACTGGTCCAATTGTTGCTATCAATCAGTCCTTTTCTTAATTAGATAATTTTCTATATTATAAGTTTATTAAATATGTATGTTACTATTAAAAAAATAAAAATAAAATTGACACCTCCCTTTAAGTTCTAAAAAGTAATTATTAGCTGACAAATTGATAATTATATGTAACTAAATGTTGTCAAAAATTATTTTTCTAATATTGTATTTCCCTTTTTGTCGTTTCGCCTAGCTTTAAAAATGAGAATAACATCCAAAGTACTGGTCCCAAAATTCAATCAACCATTTTCTTAATAAGATAATTTTTTATTTTATAAGCTTATTAAATATTTATGTTATCGTTAAAAAAAATAAAGTTGATACTTCTATAAGTTAAAAAAGATAATGCTAAAAAATAATCAATAGCTAATAAATTAAGAATTATATGTAACTAAAAAACACCAAAAATGTTCTTTCGATATTTTATTTTGAGATTAATCGAGTGGTTCACGATAAATTGACCACCTGTATATCAATTATATTTTTCAAAATTTAGAAAGTGAATTCCGTATATTTTTTAATAAGCATTTAATATACAGTGCGACTTATTCGTTTTAGGGACCATTGTAGTTTTGCACAATATGACTTTTCTCTTGTAACTATTTTTCTTCTACCTTCAATAGATCAAATTCTTTGTTTTGTTACAACTACACAAAAAAATTATTTTACTTAAATTATACATCCTCATTTAGATGACTTTTTTTTTGTTACTAATAATGATGATTTTAAGAAATTATAGTTAATAATATTAAAAAATTATAATACAATTTGATTTTAAATAACAGCATAATTCGTAAAAATTTACTTTGGGTTTTTAAATTTATAAATAAATTTTACCGTAATAATTAGTAAATAAAGTCGGTTATATTCTCAACAGATATAAATAATAAATGAAACGTTAACTGTTATGTAAATTACTTAAGAGGATACCAAATAAAAATATATTATATCCCAAAATAATGTCATTACATACAAATAACTAAATGTATTATACAATTCTAATTGCAGCATCAATATTTAACTTGTTATATTTCATAAAAATAAAATAAAAAATTAAGACGAAATACTATACTTAGGGCACGCAGTTGTAATAGTTGGTGTAGAAATTCGAACAGATAATAGCGTAATACCGTTAATAGTGTGCCCCAATCACAATTATAATGAAATAACAACTCAATATGGAATGAATGCATTAAATTTGATACGATTACCATACTTTATACGAAATCACTTTTTTTATAAGCTTTGTATAATCACCGGAATTATAGCTACTGATGCAGAATATGAAGTAATTAAATTATTTAATTAAATAATTAATAGTTTTTTTTATGAAAATATTTCGTATATTTATATATTTTAGTAGGGTGAAAATGGGGAACCAGAATCCCCATTTTCACCCTACTTATTTATTTAGTAAAACAGTAAAATTCTATACACTTATAAGTGTGAAGTTTCTACCTTTATAAATATAAAAGGATAAAGTAGAGTAATGATATAATGATATTTTTTTAAATAAATTAAAAAACATTATTTCTATTGATATTTTCATTGTCCTTAAGTATAAGTTATTTGATTTATCAATATATCGTGAATTAACCTATATATTTATGATAAATTTTTATAGAGTTAAGGTCTCGGAAGTGATCCAAACAAATTTTACAAATACGTAGGTTAAGTTACAAACTCCAATTACTATAATTCTAGCATTTTTTTATGATTAGAGGAGTCTGTCAATACCATTTAAAAAATAAATTGAAAATGTATTTGAGAAATATATTTATTTTATGTATTTCAGATGTTCAAAAGGACGAACTTTTATTATTCACATCGTTATACAAGATTGTGACTAAAAAATACAGACTGTGAAGCATAACAAAGTTGTTTTAGTTATTATTAATTTAGCGTTATCTAAACTTATTAATATATAAAATAAAACATCATAGAATTTTTGTGCAATTTATTTTTTTTATTAAAAAAACTTTGTAGAGTGGGATCGTGCTACAGTAGGAACACGGCATGGTCGGGACAAATATAGATGATATGTGACAGTGATTAACATCACTATCATAAAAATGATTCCTTGCTAATCTGTTCACAATAATTTGTTTATTTGTGTATTACAATTTTTATTTTTTTAAATTTCACTAAAATATTCGGGATTATTATAAAGAAAACTTATTTTTTCTAGATTATTGTATTAAATTGTTATCAAGATCAGTATATTTTGGAAAGTGTAATAATAAAATTAATCATTAAAATTACTGAATGGATTTTAAGCCTAGAAAAAACCTGTCATTTTCATACTCAAATTTTATTTATAATACTTATACTCGAATAGTTAAATCAATAGCCAAGATAAAAATTTAAATTAGTACTCGTATAATATTATGATGAACTTTTAATTAATAAGTGTATACAATTTTTCATTGGTAAATGTAAGATGTGTAATGCAAAGCATTGGATTAGCATTATATTATATTATGAAAATAAGAAATGATTTATTCTGTTAAATATCTTTAAATCTGTGTAAATTACATCAGCTTAGTAGCCATCATTAATGCACCTAAAAATATTGTGATAAAATGAAGAAAGGTATTTGTTGAGCGATTTGTTCAAAAACCATGTCAAATGTCTACTAGACATTCTTAAAACACGGAATAAATTTTTTAGGCACTAAATCTTCAAATGTCTTCAATATAATTAAAATGATAGAAATTGGATGGTAATTTTTCACATCAGATAATTTATTGTTTTTAGGAATAAGAATGACATGAGGTTCTAGTAATTATAATAGGTTCTTGATGAAATAAACAAATTAAACAAATGATGAATAGTGCCCGGTTACAGAGACGATTTTATATTATTTATAGAAAAATATATATCATCGTACAATAGATAAATACAGTTTATATGAGTTGAGTTACAGTAATGAATTGATGGATCAATAAGTTGCACTTTAGAATTTGTATAAACGCTATCGAAATGTTTTACAAATAAATTGACTAATTCATGACTATTTTTAACACTGATTAAAATATTATTTAGGCAAAATGTTATTGGAAATTTTTTGATTTAATGAAATTCCAAAAAAATTATGATCAACATTAATTAAACTTTGTACATTTTTTTAAGTTTTATCATAGTCTCACTTGCTTAGTAGTTTACATTGTGTAGATTACAAAAAAATTTGAAATCATGAAATGCAAGCGTTTTTTGAAAATAAAATTTGATAATTTTTTTGACGAATAAGACTTTTCAATTCTAAATTAAACCAAATTTTATCTGTAGATATATATTAAGTTTGCGTATGGACGTATTCATTAATAGCTTTATAAATAATATCATAAAAAATATTCTTATAGTTCCTATAGACTGTATTAAGAAAGTTCAGAATACCAATCTATCGATTTTTAACAATTATTAAATATATAATAATTACCTTTTTCATAATCTAAGTATAACTCTTAAAAATTTAAGGTATTTGGCTTGTCTGTTAAGAAAAAAATAACAAGTACAGGATGGAAAGGATCAAGAGGAAGTATGCTATCAATATCACTACCGTTTAAATACACTTACTTGCAGAAAAGTATTTTCAGTTTTTGGGGGTTTTTGTTTTATAAATATAAAAGTATATTAATTTTGTTGGGGGTTTTTGTTAGTTACATATATATATATATTACCATTTATTTGTTATTTAATTAATACTAGGGTCTTTATTAAGTAAATTTTATCATTGACACTCCTATGTAAAACTCAAGATCTTTTTTACGGAGATATTATAAAAATAAAAAGGAGTTGTATATTCATATACTTTTAATGCGTATAACAATTTAAAGGGATTGATGCAATACTTTTTAATTAAAAAAATTTGTTACTTATGAGTAAATACACTAGACTAAAAGGAACTTTCGTCAGAAGAAAAAATATACTCTTCTAAATAAACTTTTCGCGATGTTTTCAAATATGCAATTAAAATTTTTCTATTACTTCGAAGTTTTAATATTATTACTTATTATTAAAAAAATAAGTATTTACATATAAAAAAAAATAATTAAGAACAAAAAAAAATTAAAGTTCCAATAATATGGTTTTTAATGGATATAGTGATACGACATAGTGTCAAATCATTGATACGATTCGGTTATTTGTCGAAAACATTAGTATATATTTTAATTTTATAATACTAAAACGAGAAGAAAATCTTATATAATAAATAACTAAAATATTTTTTATAGTAATAAAAAAAGAATTCATTGATAATAACAAGAATTAAGACTATGTGTCTCCATTTGANACTTTTCAGTAATTTTTTGTGGCTTTTCAATTTAATATTTTTTAGTTTTTAAATTAATAATATTTTTAATATAGTTTTAATTTTACTTAATTATCGTTCTCACTCCATCTATTAATTTCACTTGCCTTTACTTGCATACTGTCTCAAAAATTTTCTTACATATTCAGTACCCGAAAAATAATCTGGTTTCATCAACCAAGACCGGTTATTAGACTCCATGCTTGTAATATTTGAATTTATTGTTTCTATGCAATTAGTTAATGAAAGTAAGTCTAGAATTTTTGACCATGTTAAATTATTACAATAACCCGGTATTTGTTCTTCTATAATAATTCTATTTAAATAGTCTATATCGTTATAAAAATGTCCATTACCTAAACCCCTTAATTTATTTTGATCACCCTGTGGAGAGTTTTTAATATTATTATAAAAATGATCCGGTTTTGTAAAATCGCTAGTAGTCGCCTATAAATGATTTTTTTCTGTAATAAGAATATCTGAAAACTTTTCACCTATATTTTCAAATTCACATTCTACACTTGGTACTACGTTTATTAGTTTATCATTACTTGAATAACTTGCTCAATTTCAGCTGGGTTTAAGTTAGGTTTTAAATCTGATAGTCTAAGTTGTATTGTCAATACAATTAAATAATTGTCAAAATTATAAATATACATTTTACTAATTAATATATATTAATACTGCATGAATAGGATTTACACTTCCAGTGAAGTGGTCCCTAACTTAGTCTAATTACAATAAATAATATTAAAATTGTAAAATAAATATTTATAAATTTAAACAAAGCCATATGGCTTGACGCGTGTTAAACGTCTTAGGTCATTGGAATTGTCTAATAGTTGAATTGCCATAAATCAGTCAAGACAAAAATTTGTTAATATGTATTTAATTGATGTCACGCACGCGTGTACGGGTACGAAAACCAAAAATAAAAGGATACAGGAAAATATTGTTATTCGCGAGCGGTGTGCGGGGTGGGGTGAATGCATTACGACAGTCTAGTCCAAGGACATAAACGACGAGATACACGAGAATAATAACACGTGGCGAGTGAAGAATTACAAACAACTCACAAACATACATGTGAAACTAATATAAGCGTGTTAAAAATAACAATAGAAATTTAGTCTAAAATCATTTAACTTTAACAAGCTGTTACAGATGAACGGTTAATCGAAAAAAAAATTATAATAACAAATTTGTTTGTATTTTTTATTTCTATCATAATATCAAGTTAAAAAAACGGTAGCACAATGGGGTCGAGGCACAGTGTGGACGAGGCATAAATGGGACAAGTATAGATGATATCTGACAGTGATTAAAATCACTGTCGTAAGAAACGCTTCGATGCAAATCTGTAGATAGTGTTTCATTTAGAGAAATTGGTGGATTATTCCAAAAGCAACATTAACTCTTATTCGCTTAATTTTATCCCGATTTATAATCATAATATATGAGTACATAATAATTATAGTAATTCAATTTAATATGAAATTGATATTCAATAATATAATATTGTAATTTTTACGGAGATATTATAAAAATAAAAAGGAGTTGTATATTCATATACTTTTAATGCGTATAACAATTTAAAGGGATTGATGCAATACTTTTTAATTAAAAAAATTTGTTACTTATGAGTAAATACACTAGACTAAAAGGAACTTTCGTCAGAAGAAAAAATATACTCTTCTAAATAAACTTTTCGCGATGTTTTCAAATATGCAATTAAAATTTTTCTATTACTTCGAAGTTTTAATATTATTACTTATTATTAAAAAAATAAGTATTTACATATAAAAAAAAATAATTAAGAACAAAAAAAAATTAAAGTTCCAATAATATGGTTTTTAATGGATATAGTGATACGACATAGTGTCAAATCATTGATACGATTCGGTTATTTGTCGAAAACATTAGTATATATTTTAATTTTATAATACTAAAACGAGAAGAAAATCTTATATAATAAATAACTAAAATATTTTTTATAGTAATAAAAAAAGAATTCATTGATAATAACAAGAATTAAGACTATGTGTCTCCATTTGAAAAAATAAAGTCGTATAAACAATACAATAAATCGAGAACAAATATAACAAAAATAAAAAAATGTTCTAAATTATTTATATTCAGCAAGTAATTGAGTAGTTTATGATAAACGGATATAGAAATTTCATAAAAAAATAAATCCAATAGATTTTCATATTTATTTAAAAATTCATCCTAGTAATCCCTTGATTTGAATAAGACTTAAAATATTCTTTATTTGTCACATATTTTTTAGCTATTGCAATGATATATATTTTAATTTATTTATTCAAGCTAAAATCCTCACACTGTAAACAAACAAAATTATATTTATTCCTACAAAAAAAATATAAAAGCTGTTTAAAACAAACATATTTGTTCATTTTAATTATTTTTATTTTTAACTAATTTGAAAAATAATTATAGCATCGACATAAATATTTAAATAGATTTTTAATACTTAATTTTGGTTTTAATGCTTATTTTTGTTAAAAGCTAATATATTTTACAATGAATTATCATTCATTTATAATATTTCTAATTTTTGCAAATTATGGTATATATTTATATATTTAATTTTCTTTTTATGTACCTATATTGAATATTATACGATATTGTAGGATCGATACTTATCAGCTTGCTAATAAATTTTGTTTATATATAACTGTTTCAGGATCATTTTTTAGAAGTTTATCAAATGGTAAATATTTTTAACAAACATTTTAATACCACATACATTTTTTTTGAGTGATAAATTAAGTGAGAATTAAAATTTTTAATTATTGTATTATTATTGTAATAAACAAAAATTTTAAAATAAAATAAAAATGAATGAAAAGTATGAATGTAAAGATGAAGTGGTATCTCGGGGTCGAACTATATTTATTTATTAAATAATAAAATATCCCTACCTCATTTATTCCTATTCTTGTTTATTACGTGATTTTTTTAGAAGTAAGGCATGGAAATACATATTCGCACTTACCTTTAATTCCTTTAGTAATTGACTGAGTTGGTTTTATGGTGATTTCTTCCTTCAGTGTCAATAGTCGTTTATACTGTCTTTTATTTCGATTAATTAGTCTCTCTGTGAATATTAGATTTATAAAAGGGGTTTTCTACAATGGAACCTGCGTCTATTATAATTTGTCACCTTATTTATTTTCTTTAAATTCCTTTTATATTATACTATGTTTTTTTTTTTACTAATAATATTTTCGATGAATTCCCTACAGTTGATATCGATATTCTTAAAATTTACTCTGAACTAGTCAAAATTTAATTATAAGAATATGTCTATCTATATTCAAAATATAATTAACGAGACTGTGATGGTCCAGCGTTTCTCAGCGTAAAGCCTTGGCTGGCGCGGACACAGTTATCTCGTTAATATATTTTAAATATTATTTCAATACACCTTTTACTATCCTTTACGTCAACTACCTACACGTTACCGAAAGGTAATTGTTATAGTCCTTTATGGCTGGCGGGTACACACGTAGAGGATATTTCCAAGATGTAGTTTCCTATCTTACGGACTATATATTTTATGATGAACTCTACCCGGACTACTAGTTCTAGAACTGGCTTGTCGACGGATATAGCGCACTTCAAAAATACTCTTTTTATAAGTTTAGCACTACTCTGTACCTCAACTGCCTACACTTTACCGAAAGGTAATTGGCATAGTCCCTTAAGACTGGAGGGTACACAGGCATTAAGTACTACTACTAAAACTACTTAATTCTATTCACAAATTATGCTTCTTCATTTAGTTCGGCACATTTAAGGCTGTTCATAAATGTAGGGCACAATAATATTTAAAACCTTTATATAAAAATAGAGATAATTTCTATTTGTTGTGAGAACATTAGGTGATAATATAAATAAATAAAAACTTGTTCCTGTGTAAAATTTTAATAAATCATCTAAGACAATGTTCACCACTTAGGATGATATATATAAAAAAAAAACTAAGTCACAGGAACAAGATATTTACTTATACTGACGCAGATTCCATGCAAGAGAATATTGAGAGAACAAGAGCAGAGCCACGAGAGAGGAGAGAGCAGTCCTCGTTGTAGTCGTAGATATCGTCTCTTTTTACGAGAAAAAATGGCTTTTTATACGCCAGATGAAGTAAGCCATCGATCTCTATTGAAATTCCTAAGATGTTGGATAATTATTTGTGATTAGTTAATTGTGATAGAAACCCTGCCGTGGGCGTAGTTACTGTAGGGGACTGGTTTGAAACATGTGTTGATAAATAGTTATTTTTATTACCCTAAAAGGGAAACATTCCTTAGATGATTTTTTGCTTTATTCATATATATGTGATATTTAGTACATGTGTTAATAATTATACTACATTATTATAGTCAAATATGTATAATTATACTATAATTATATATATATATTAAAGAATATTTTATATTAGTAAATTTACTACCCAAATTAAATAAACTTAACAAAAACGAAGAAAAGTATATAAAAACATTTTGTTCTTTTAATTAGATGATTTTAAGTGTCCATTCTGTATTGATAAGTTGTCTAGTTCTTATCATTTGATTTCACATATCAACGATAAACACACAGAAAATGAAATTACCATATGTCCTGAATGTTATCAAGAATTTCAATATGGCAGTGTACTCGAAGTGCATATGTATATAAATCATGTAGAAAAGAAAAAATTGCAATCGGTAACATCTATTTTCATGATAAATTTATTTTTGCTTATTATCCTCTTAAGTAATTGATGTAACACAACATTTATGTTTATATCTGTTAACAACATAAATTATTTTAGTTTAATAATATTTCTAACTATAATATTTGTCGAAAAAAGTATGAGGAATCCTGAACAAAACTTAGGCGGATTGTCCCATCTCGGATGTACGCGGGGACAACAGATAGTAGTTGAAAACGGAGAAGGCCTAAGGAATAAAGTGTTTGATACCAGCCGGACAACTTGTGCAGTAGCTGTTTCACCAGTCATGTTTGTAGAGACATCACGTTGTAGAGACATCACGTTGTAGAGACATCACCACTTAACTCTAAGCTGGACTCGTGTATAAGGGAGAATGATAGATATAAAGTAAGAATCGATACTTGGAATGTTGGAACATTAATTGGTAGAAGTATTGAAGAGGAGATAAGTTAACATTTGTTGTGTGCGGAAAACTAAGTGGAAAGGAGAGAAATCAAGGGAAATAGGTAAGGGTTATAAAATAATATTCTCAGGTAAGTCTAGTACAAAGAATGGTGTAGGGATAATAATGGATGAGAACATGAATAGTAGAGTAGTAGAAGTAGCTAGGAAGAGTGACAGAATTATGGTCGTAAAATTGATATTCGAAGAAAAAGTGCTGAATGTAATAAGTGCCTATGGATCACAAGTAGGATGTGATGAAATAGACAAGGAAATGTTTTGGAGAGAGATGGATAAGGTGATACAAGGGGTACCTTACAATGAGGATGTGGTTATAGGTGGAGATATGTATGGACATGTAGGTAATGAGAAAAGAGGATATGAAAGAGTACATAGAAGGTATAGTTTTAGTGACAATAATAGAGAGAGTGTAACTACACAACATAGACTGATGGTAATGGAGTTGTGGTGTACCGGAAAGAGAATATACACAAATAGAAGGAACACGGGGAATATTCGGTAGTGGAAATTGAAAGAGGAAAATGAAAAAGAGTTTGTAAAGAAGGTAAAAGAGATACGATGTGGAATGTCGAGGGAGATAAATGATGTCTGGAATAGATTTGATAGTTGTATGAAGTATACTGCAAAGGAGATTGTTGGTGAGAGTAGGAGTAGAATGCCAGGAAACAGGGAAACCTGGTGATGGGATGAGGACGTTCAAAAAGTCATAGAAAGTAAGAAAAAGCAATTCAAAGTATGACAGAAGAGCAAAAGGAGATAAGACTGGATTGAGTATAAACGCTTGTGCAAAGAAGCCAAGTGTGCAGTCAGTAAGGCGAAGTTTAAGAGGTATGATGAGTTGTATGATAGGTTAGGAACAAAGGGAGGCGAGAAAGAAATCTATAGACTTGCAAAGATAAGAGAAAAAAGGTCTAAAGATTATCATTAAATAAGGTGTATAAAAAGTATTCGTAATAATGTACTCTCGAGTGATGATGATGTGAAAAAAAGGTGGAAAGAGTATTTTGAAAAATTATAGAATGAGATGTACCAAAAAGAAACATTAGAAGATATCTCGTGGAATGAGGGACTGGTAGATTTAATTAGTGAGAAGAGGTATGGGAGGCTGTGGCATCAATGAAAAAGAATAAAGCAGAAGGACCTGATGAAGTGCCAGTAGAAGCATGGAATATAGTAGGCGGTATTGGCATAAGGTGGTTAAAAGAACTTTTAAATAAAATCTTATTAGAAGGGAAAATACCAAATGAATGGAGGAACGAGCATATAAAAGGGAGTATAGGTGTAGCGTTAATCGTGGATAAGATGAGAGGAAATAGACTAAGATGTTATGGTCATGTTATGAGGAGAGAACAATCGGAAGCTGTAAGAACAGTTATAGAAATTAATGTTGTAGGAAGAAGAGGTAGAGGAAGACCAAAAAAAAGATGGAGGGATGCTATTGAATGCGATTTGAGGACAGCTGATATGAGCGTTGATGATGTGGGAGATCGTGTTAAGTGGAAGTTTAGAATAAGGGTGGCTGACCCCAAGTAGTTGGGATTAAGGCGAAGAAGAAGAAGATTATTAACTATAATTTCTTAAAATAATCATTGGTAGTAAAAAAAACATAAGCACAATAGGGTCGTGGAACAACATAGACGTGTCATAGTTGGAATAAGTATAGATGATATTTGTCAGTAATTAATGTCATTTTCATAAGAATCGCTTGGATTCAAATCTGTAAATAGTGTTTAATTCTAAGAAATCGATGGATAATTACAAAAACAACGTCAACTCCTATTTCCTTAAGTAAATCCTGATTTAGAAATATAATTTATGAATAACTATTTATTATAGCAAATAAATATAGTATGAAATTATATTTAATAATTTAAAACGGTATTTTTTACGGAAAAATAATTAATTATTAAAATAAAAATAATAAATGATGAAGTAGTATATTATGTTGTTCTATAACAAACATGTATAAAAATTAAAGAGCTTGATGCATAATACTTAAGAAAAAAAAATTTTTACTTATGAATGGTTACAATGGTTACAAAAAAACTTTCATCGAATGCATAATATATACTTTTCTAAATCAACTTTTTGCACTGTTTTCAAATCTGAAATAAATTTTTTCTATCACTTCTTAGTTTTGATATTTTTACTAATTATTAAAAAATGAGTATTTACAATAACAAAATAATAATAAACAAAAAAAATTGTACTTTAAAAATGACTGATTTAGATTTTTAATATTTTAAAAATAAACAGTAAAAAATATCATTTATAACCTATTATTATGGTTTTTTAAAGTTAATTTTTGAATGTTTATAATAATCAACGTTTAAATTTGTTGCCATATTTTAGCTCAATTTCAAGTTTGAAATTTAACTATTAAATGAAAAAAATTATGAAAATTAAAAAATAAGTATTGTTAAGATTAATATGTAGTCAGGAAATTTTATAATTAATATTTCTTGTAAATTTATCAGAAAAGCTCAATATTTTTTTTTTTCATTTTTACTATAGTAGATCATTTAATTAATTTTTATAATTTACTTTAATTAAAAATACCAATCCAAATGTTATTAAAGAATCTACACAATGAGCGTATTATAAAATTTGATCATAATTGTAAAAATTTTTTTTTAAATTCAGGTAAAACTAAAAATCATTTTTTTTTAGATTTATGACTTATATAAAAATATGCATGTTGGAATATTATAGACTTATAGTAACACAAATAAAGTTAAAAAATTATAAACTACCAAGTAAAATTATTTAATTTTGTAGTTGAAACCTATTATCATATCAAACCAAATTCGATAATAAATACGTTAAAAACATTATTAATTAATGATTTTAATTGTTTGTATGGAGAAAACTGGTTAAGGAATCCTTAATATGAAAAAAAGGGATTCATAAGGTTTAATTTAAGATATAGTGTCAGTACTTTGCGGAACACTTTCGAAAATTAAGTTTAAAAAGTTCTTTTTTCTATATACATTTTTAAGTTTTGAACTTCCACTGTATAAAGGGAAATGGTCTGATTTACGGTGAACGAGGAATTTTTTTTCATTTTTTAAGGGTAATGTCTTTGACTAGATATGATTTGTGATGTTGACATACTGTTCATCAAAATCGGTCCAGTGAGAGCAGAGAATAAGTGGTAACAGACACAAAAAAAAACACAACATAGTAAAATTAATACCTTCTCAGCTTCGCATCAAAGATACATTATTCCAACTGAGAATTCATTATTTCAATGAAGTATTTTTTTAATTTAGGTGATTGAACAGGAAGAGTCTGATCTTTTACATGCAATACAACTACACTTATATTTAAATGAAGAAAATGAGAGAAACTATGAAGACTCAATTTTTAATAATGGTACCTTAAATTAATGCATCATAGTTTAATAAATGTTTATTAAAAAAACATTTGGTATTCACCATTCAAATTTTTAAAAATATATTTGAAATACAATGTGAAACAAATTAAACTGACTACACTTTGATAACTAACTTTTGATACAATAATAATTTCCTTTAATTTTAAAAATAGCGATTTTGAATCTCTCTTAGAAGGTTAAAGCAGTAAAGGGTCAGATTTTCAAAAAAAATATACTCAAAGAAAGGGAATTACATAAGGTAGTTTTATTAAATAAATTTATTTTTATTCATTCTTTTTAATAAAGTTATGACAGTGTTGAGTAAAAAATGTCGAAATTTATCTATTTTAAAATAATTAATTTTTTTGGAAATGGTTATCAAAAACGAGGGAAAAACTCTCAACTTTTGAGGGCAATCCGTATTATTTTTCCAATCTAAAAATTAAATTTCTTGTAACTCAATTAGTACTAATACCAAAATTGTTAACAATTCATTACATTTTTTTGTAAAAGAAACTATTAAAAACAAATATTTTGAAATTATGAAACAATTTAAAATTAAAAAACTCAGCAAAGTGAGGACGAAGCATAGCCGGGACAATTTAAGGAGATATCCGATAGTGATTAAAAAACGCTTCATGCAATGGTATAGATATTGCTTGATTTTTAAAAGGAATAATTGAATTATTCCAAAAAAACAATCATTACTATATTCTTAGTTACATTCTAATTACTAGATTATATTTTAATGTGTTCAAAAGTTAGGAAACGTGTTTATATTGTTCTCATTGTTTGTAACAATTGACCTATTTTCTTACTTCAATTTTTGTAGTACGTATTTTTATATATAAATATGTATTACAAATATAAAATTTAATATGTAATTAATATTTTATATTGTAATTTTAACTAGCTCAACTATTTTATTATTTCCTTATTTATATCCTGATTACTCTAAAAATAATAATTATATAAAGAACATTTTTATTGTATTTTTTAATTTTACATATTTCTCAAATTTTAAATGGCAACATACATAATTAAACATATTATAAAATAAAAAATGATCTCATTAAGCAAATGAATAGTCGAAAACAGTTTTAAAGTAGTATTTAAGAAGTTATTAATATCTTTATATATAAAGTGGAGGAATAATACGTTAGAGTAATGCGCAGTATTAAAAAACATAACCTTCACATCTTTTCTATATTTTAAAAAAGTTAAAACTATCCAAATAATGAGACACATGTTGTCATTGACCACTCATTTTTGAATTAGAGGATATTTTTATTTTTTAAGCTAGTTAAATATATATGGTGCCATTTAAAAAATTTAAGTTAAAAATATAAAGTATAATAAAATATAAAATATGAATTAAAAAAATTATTATAAATGTATGAAATCAAATAATATCAAAAAAGATTTTTTAAACTTAATATTTATTTTAAGATAAATCCAGGGAAATTAAACAAAATATAGGGTGATTCTATTAACAGTCATTTATTAATGTAATCGCCCTTAAATAGTAGTAAAAACATTTTTTTTAAAGGGATACCCTTAAGTCATTATGGATTGACATTAAAAACTGGAGATACATTTTTTCAATCTATAGAACGTAACTTAAGATCTTAATTTAATATATGTCTAAAGGATATATATTAAGTCATGCAAAAGTATAAATTTCCCAATAGGCAGTTTAAGGATAAGATTTTCAATGAAATTTACAAGAAAAAAGATATTACCTAAGGTGGTTATTTAAAATATTTTTTTTTTTATTCATTCATATTTAAAAAAATTATGACAATGTTGAATAAAAAATGTCAAAATTTATCTATTTTCAAAATAGTAATTTTTTTGGTAATTAATATCATTTACCATGAACAAGGGAAAAACTTTTAGTTTTTGAAGCCAATGTATCCAACTAGATACGATTTGTAATGTTTTGACGTATCGTTGAATAAATCAAACCAGTAAAAACTGAAGAAATGTAGTGACAGACCCCTCTCAAAAAAAAAATACATCATGGTAAAATTAACCTTCTCAGCTTCACATCAAAGCTAAAAATTATCGAAAAAAGTAGAATAGTTTTAGTGTAAATTATTTAAAATTAAGTAATAAATAAATATTAATTAAATAATTATTTAAAAAATGTAATAATTAATTATTTTTAGACCGATATCTGGATTCACCTACAATAGAAAGTAATTTATAAACAATATTATTTCTTTAACAGTGCCCATATCATGATAGGTACACTACAACTAACGATTCTTTTATTCATACATTTTAGATATAGTTCGATACATCCGTCCCTTAAGTGAGAATTCTCCTGGAGTACTGAATGTCTATTTATCCTCTCCAATAGATTACTACAAATCTGCTAGAGAAGATATAGCATATGGCTGTGTTTATAGATCTTTGCAGATGATGTTATCTAGTGTTATGCTGAATGCGGATTATAACAATCATATTATTAAGGTTTGGGAAAATTTGTATAATATATCAATTTCGCGTTCTAGGATGCCAAAGGTTTCATTTCTAGAGATGCATTTAGAAGAAAGTTGGAACAAGGGTATTAATCCATGGGGTAAAAAAATAATGTACGAGAGGAGTCAATATCCCACCAAAAACGGTTCTCATATGCTTGATGTTGATGCAATGCTTACGGGAATGCGAATTAGGTATACCACATGTATGTCCTTAATTGGATCAAAATTTTTTAAATTACTATTTTTGAATTACAAAAATTCTACAATAAAAATTATACTGTTAAATATATCAAATGTTATTTTATTTTTACAGAGCGGAGTATATACATTTTGAAGGAGGGTTTTTTCGAAATACATGGCAAAAAGTGTTAAAGTGGTTATATAATTATTTTCAAAATAAATATAACTTAGACTATATATCGCCAGTAATGCTACACTATCCACGTAATACATCAATTTTTCAATTTCATCATTTCGAAGCTCACACATTCGTAAAATAAATACAATATTGAAAATAAAATTTGTGTTTTTTGTTAATTTATTAGTTTTGATGCAAAGCTGAGAAGCTATTGGTTTTACTATGATGTGTTTTTTTTTACTGTTACCATTTTTTCTTAGCTCTCACCGAACCGATTTCTTTCAACGATACGTCAAAAGATCAAATCATATCTAGTCGAAAACATTACCCTGAAAAATAGAAAAAAATTCCCTCATTCCCGTAAATGGGGGAAACCTCCAAAAAATTACAAATTTAAAAATCGTTAATTTTTGACATTTTTTCAATTTTTTACTTAAAACTGCCATAACTATTTTAAAAATGATTGAATCAATACAAATTTTATTTTCTAGATGCAAGATGTCTTTATCTATCGTTTGCTATATTTTTTTAATAAATCTGATCCTTTAAGTACCCACAGGTAGTTAAAACTTTTTCAACTTAACTTTTGAAAGTGTTCCGGAAAGTCTGACGCTTTTATATATATCTTAAGATTAAAGCTAATGTAATGTACTTTATTATGAAAAAAAAAAAATTTCGGACTTTAATTTGTCTTCAAGGTGAAAATAGCTACCAAATGCTATTATTGTGTGAAAATTCTCGATTTTATTTTTTACTNCTACCCACAGGTAGTTAAAACTTTTTCAACTTAACTTTTGAAAGTGTTCCGGAAAGTCTGACGCTTTTATATATATCTTAAATTAAAGCTAATGTAATGTACTTTATTATGAAAAAAAAAAATTTTCGGACTTTAATTTGTCTTCAAGGTGAAAATAGCTACCAAATGCTATTATTGTGTGAAAATTCTCGATTTTATTTTTTACTCTTTTAACTTTATAATGCTATAACTTATTGAAAAGTGTATGGATCAACACAATTTGTTTATGAGAAATAATATATTTAAAAATCCCTCTTTCATTCGACATACTTTATATTAATCAGGATATTAATAAGGAATAGCAAATCACGAAGCTTTTGGAATAATCCACCAATTTTTTAAAATGGGTTTTTTTAATAGTAATTATAAAATTTACTAAATGCATATTAGTTTNATTAATCAGGATATTAATAAGGAATAGTAAATCATGAAGCTTTTGGAATAATCCACCAATTTTTTAAAATGGGTTTTTTTAATAGTAATTATAAAATTTACTAAATGCATATTAGTTTTAACAAAATCATTTTTTGTTTTATTTTATAACTGAACGGCTTTATAGAATTTATCATACTCTCACTATTTAACTCATTCAAATATTTCATAATACTAAAATTATTATCTAAAAAATAAATAATTATATTTAGAACACTCAGTGGTAATAGTTGGTGTAGAAAATCGACCAGGTAATCAAAAAGTACCATTAGTGGTATGTCCAAATCATGATTACACACATATAACAACTCAATATAGAAATAATGCTCTTTATATGATTCAAAATTATTCTTATATACGCCATGGAGTTTGGTATCGTCTTTGTATAATCACCGGAATCATAATAACTGATGCAGAATATGAAGTAATAATTTAAAATCGTTAATAAAAATTTTATATTGGTACAATTTCTTTCTAATTAGTTCAATATTTATCATTGAGATTTCTTAATGAGTGTATAACGGTTTAATTAAATTTTAAGCAATATTCTTATAAATCATTTAAAAAGATAACAAATAATTTTATTCTACAAGTTTTATTACCTCTTTTTATTTTAAACCTTTATCATTCTAATTTATTTTTGTAAACAAGTGTTATTATTAGACATCTTATAAAGAATCACTTTTCCAAAAAGTAGTAGAAATACAGTAGACAATTTCATAACTCTTTCTTCTATTGTTCATTCTCTACGGAACTTCAAATTTGACTCACATTATAAAAGGTATAATCTCAAAATTGCCTTATTTATACATAAGGTATTCAGTAAGTAATTATTTGTAACAATTTATTTGTTTCCTTACTTACAGAACACATTGTATTTATATATTTTTAAGTAATATATTTAAATTCTTTACTCAAAGAATTAAAACCATGTATTGTTATTTTTTCAATAAGTAGATCAAAAGTATCAGATTTGTTAAAATATTTACATTAAGTTGGAAGTCTCAATTATATAGTTATTTATTATAAACTTTATTGTTATTACTTCTCTAGGTATCTCAATACAACATAAATAGTATAAATGGAAAATATATTTAATAAATATTATTATTTTGTGTATTCCAGAGATTGAAAAGATCGGATTTTGAACATTCAGATCGATATACAAGACTTTGAATTAAAATTACAGACTATGAGGCATCACAGCATTTCTTTAGTTATTATCTATTATTAAATGTGTTAAATAAATGCATTTATCTTTTGTATTTGTTACAATATCCACGCATATTAGTTTTAAATAATTCTTAAAATATTTAAATGTAAATTATAAGAAAAGTACAATGTCACAAAAATTATATTATGTACCAAACTGATATCATAAAAATGCATTGTAATTTAAATATATATATATTTTCATGTAATAGTTATCTAAGTCATGATTACCGTGTAATAAATTATAAAATGATAGTAATAAAACAGTCTAAAAAGGCAGTACGTCACTCGAGATTACCAAAAAAATATGAGATAAGAACTATCAACCATATAAAGTAAAAAGGCTAAAAGCATCAATAATGCAGTGCAGTGGTTACTGAGTAGAGCATAATAGCGTAGAACAGCATGGACACATAGTAGTGGAGTTAACTAATCACTTAACTATTTAGTACAACACGGTGAAAAATATTTAAATAAATATAGTTTAAAAAAACTATATTTATTTTTCACTTTTTAGTTTTTTATGGCTTCGTTGTCACAGTCACAGAGTATTTGTCAATTATGATATCTATAGATATAATTTCTGTATAGCCAGTTAGTGTATTTATTAACTCACAACAAAGTGTCTTTCTACCATTAATAATAACAATGCTGTGTACCTGCGAATATATCGTCATAAAAAACCAATTAGCTACCTGTACTTGTAATCCCTTATATACATGTATATTAACTCAAAAAAATTTGAATCTTTAAATGTTTATATCTCGTAAAAATTTGTCTATATATACACAGGGTGATGTTTTTATTATAACCCACTCAATTACTTTCAGAGTAATAATAATTTAAACATTTTTTTTTTTTTTATGTTTAGTTACACATTATTCTTGAATTATTAACTATGTAATACTTTTTAAGTTCATCCCTTATGCCTGGTAAGGGTGTCAACTTAGTTTTTATAAATGGGAACACATATTTTGAATTTAATAAAATGTTTGAGTTTTTAATTTAATAGTAAATGGCATTTGAATTTTTAGTATAACTTTATTTGTTTATTAGATATAAACACTTAAAGTTTCAAATTTTTGAGTTAATATACATGTAAAATACACTAGGGATTACAAATACAGGTAGCTAATTGGTTTTTTATGACATTGATATTAGCAGGTACACAGCATTGTTATTATCAATGGTAGTAAGGTACATTGTTGTGAGTTTATAAATACACTAACTGACAATACAGAAAATATATCTATTGATCGTCATAATTGATAATAAACAATCCGTGACTATGACAGCAATGTCATAAAAATCCAATTAGCTACCTGTATTTATAATCCCTTGTGTATTTTACATGTATATTAACTATTAATAATTAATTTTATTGATATTATTATTGTCTTGAACAATGGTATCAGACCATTGTAACACCTGTTTGTTGTGATGAGCCGTCTTTTACTTTTTTCATAGTTATAAACATTTTTATTTGTATTTAAAGTTTCCTACCCATTAAAATGTGTAATCATTTACTTTTAAGGAATCTACCTTGTGATTTTGTCTAGATACTATCATGTATTTTATCTTTGTCTTTTTGAGCCAATTTTTTCCCCTTCTTTAGCGAGAGATCAGCTGTATTTTTTAAGTCGTTATCTGTTTCGGCTAATAAGACTATATCGTCTGCATAAGCAACTGCTATTAGATGTTGATTATCTTTTATTTCTATGCCCTTGGCTTGGAACATTACTACCATCATAACTGATTATAGGATGATGATCTTGGCTGGTATTCCTAACTGTCCCATGGACTATCCATAAATTTTCTCTTTGTTTGAATCATACTCTGCTTTGAAGTCAATAAACAGTAGATGTGTATCTTTATCGAATTCGTGATTGTTCTTAACAACTTTTTTTATTATGTGTGTTTGATCTATTGTTTATTTTCCTAATATAAAACCAGCTTGGTATTTTCCAATTATTTCTTTAATATAAAGGATTGATTCTGGTCAGTAGTATGTTAGACAATAGTTTATATGTTGTATTGAGTAGTGAAATCCCTCTATAACTTTTACACTCCATGATGCTCCTTTTTTGTTTACTGGGCATTGGATTGATATGCACCATGCTTCGGATATCTCCTCTTGTTTCCATAATGTGTTCATAACTTTGTGAAGCTAGTTCAGCAGACCATGGCGTCCCTTTTTTAGGCATTCAGATACTATTTCATCATCTCCCCGTGCTTTTTAATTTTATAGCATATCTAGTCCTCTCTTCACTTTTTCTTATGATGATTTTTCCAGGAGCTGTTCTACGGTAGTGTATTCAAGTACGGTAATATTTTCATTTGGTTAGTTTACAATTTTTCGAATATATCTTTAAATTCACTCGCAATTTCTTTACTTTCCGTTAGTAAGGATCCATAATTTTTCTACATTACAGTTGTCTAGTTTTAAATCCATGTTTCACTTCATTTGCTTTTTTGAAAAATATTTGGAAAACTTTAATAAAAATAAAGTGTTATTTATAATATTGAAACAGAAAGAATGTGGGCGTAACAAGTTTTATGCTCCCCACAGCGCTTAAAGTCATTTATTAAAATGTAACCAAAGTGACATAAATTTAACTGAATAAATATTATGTTAATAGCGAACGAACTGCGGTCTAGTTGTTTGGTGTCGTCGACAGTAAGTTGATCAAAATGTAGTAAATAATTACAAAGAAATTATTATTTGAAGAACAATAGAAATATTTTCAAAATTAAGAACAATTTAATCGATTGAAAATTTAAAAACATGGCCTAATGATAAAACATTATTTAACTTGTGTAAACCCGTAAAATAGTACAATCGACTATATGATAAGGCCACTAGAGGTAATAAGAGAGAATTTTTCGGTCGGTGTGTCAGTATGTAATTAGTTTTGAAAATGATAACATTGTTTTTGAAATACATATCCGAAATTTTTCAGTAATTATTTGGTTTTTTGAGTTATATTTTTTCTTATTTTAAATTAATATTTCAAATATATATATTATTATAAAAAATATTAGCTACAAGTGATCAATTCTTATTATTTAATTATTGATACTGTGCCATTTTTGTTTTCAAGATAAAAGTTTAATGAGATAAACTTTTATCACTTTTAGTACGTCTGGATAATGTGGACAGTAATATAAGTTTAATGAACTCAACAGCATATCAAACAAAGTAAAACTTATCATTAATTTTAAAAGAGTAAAATATAACTATTTAGAACTTCTATAGAAGGGGAACAATTATAAATAAATCATTGAAAATAATAGTAAGACAATTAACTGCATTAACAAATCATAACACAACACATTAATTAAAGTATAATATATTTTAAACCTACTCAAAATCACTTTCTACTTATAAAGATTTGTGTTTCATTTTTATTATTAATGAACCTTAAGTTACTTATTCGTTAATTTTCATAACATATTATAATTTGGTTTTAATGTTCGTAAGTATATATTTAGCTTATTTTTATAAAACATTAAAAATTTATAAGAAATTGAGATATTTCAAAATTATATATTTCTTAATCGATGTTTTAGTTTTAATGCAAAACAATTAATGTATTTTTTTACACGATGATCTTTTTTATCTGTCCATAAAATTTCTCAGCTCTCTGACGACCGACTTTGCTTATCAATACATAAAAAGTACTTAGATTAAAACAAATCGAAGCCACTGATATCAAAATCTTAAAAAATCCTCACAGTTTTATTTATTTTTAAATTGAACAAATGACGGTTAGAATAAATATCGATTACTTTTTCATTTCAAAATTGCTGTTACTTATTTAAAAATAATTGAACCTGAATAAAATGTTTATATGCTATGTGTATTATAGACGATTGAACGTAATAATACACGCATATCAAGTGTGCATATTCGATGTAAGCATAACAACCTTTCCTCCATTAATAGCTGGCCACCATAGTCAAAAATTGTAAAATTTCTATTAAAAATGTTTAGGCTTTGTTACTTAATTTAAGACACATTTTTTTTCTTAGTAAATTATACACTGTGAAACAAATTTTATTGATAACTTTTATAACTTTATAACGACTTTTGCATTTTTAGACTTCTTTAAAGCATATTTTTTATCTTTAATAAAAACATTAAAAAGAAAATAAATGTTTTCGAATCATTGCTTAAAAGTCATGATTTACTTTTGATATTATTTTTAACTAGTACTTTTTTGTTATAGATTTTTCAGATGTAATCCAAGGAAATGTGTGTTCAAATTTTGTTATGTTTTCTATTAATTCAAATAATTGAAATAGCTGACAGTCAATTTGGATTAAAAAAAAAAGAAATAGATAATCAAAAAAATAAATTACCTAATACAATAGATTCAAAACTAATACCAGTTTTGTATGAGTTTGAATTTAAAAAGCTCGATTATAAATTGGTAAAAATTCCAATGTTTAAAGATATAAATAATTTAAATAGTACAATAGATGATGGTTTTTTAACTAATGGATTTGAGAAAATTCTTCCTTTTGAATTATTATTATTTGCTTATTTACCAGATAATCCCGAAATATCTGTAGATGCCCAATCTGTTATATTTGATAAAATGAAAAAGGTAATTTTCTATACTCATGGTTTTTGGACTCGACACCTTGATGATTCTTTAGCCATAAAAAAAGCATTGTTTGAAGGCGCAGACGATTTTGATTGTATAGTACTTGTGGATTGGAGAGTTGGATCATTACATGGTACTTATTAAAATAATTTTACATAAATAAATGATGTATTATATGCAAGACTGGACATAAACGAATTAAAGTTAAGTTACGTTAAACTTTTTAGCTTAACGGAGATATTTAGATTTCACTTAAACTCGATTTTATTTCAATTTATCTCTTGTTCATTTAACAACTAAATAATGCATTTTTTTGGTATTTTTCGTTAAACACTTCTTTTAAAATGAAATTCTTGAACAAATTATTATTAGTTAATTCAAAATTTATTTATCTTCAGCATTTAATTTCAAACTAATAGTAAACAAAGTGTTTCACTTATCATTGTTGTAATATCCACGCATATTACTTTTAAATAATTCTTAAAATATGGGAATGTAAATTATAAGAAAAGTACAATATTCAAAAAGTTGTATCATAAACATAATTTCCGAAATATTGTTCGAAAAATTGTTATCCACCTTTCATTTTATTAATTTAATTATTTCCTTATTTTATAATATTGTTAAATATGTATGTTGCCATTTAAAAAAATAATGTTATAAGGAGTGATCATTTTTTATGATTGATAAATTTAGAAAAACATTGACTAAATAAACCAATAAAAAAATTATTAATATTATTTTTATTTTTTGATAATTAAGTGGTTATGTGTACATATGTAACGTCCATTTTATGATTTTCTGTTACTTAATTAATTAAATTGATACGGCCCCCGTTGCTTCGTGTTACACGATGCCCCGCGACTCGTGTCACCTTTATCGGCCGTCGCCCTACTATGAGTATTTGACTGACCAACACCGTGTGCCATACGCCACGGCCAAAGTCCATCAAGTGCCGCACGGACGACGACGACCCGCCGCTAATGATACGTTGAGTCATCTTGCCGTTGTCCAGTGACAACATCAACCGGCTCCGAACGTGCCGCACTGCCAGACTCGACGAAACGATCCGTACCCGCTCACTGTGGCCATCAACGCTGCTAACTTTTTGACGTCCAAAGATCCTTGCGGACACAGCGTCGTCGATGCCAGCGAAAGTGGCGCGATATTATGCAAAGATAATTATTAACTGTGTTAATAATCTGTTGTTGAGTAAAAAACGGCCCAGGGCCTTTACTCTCAAAACCAGTGTCGACTACATTATCGCGACTTATGTCATGTCAAAATTTAACTCTTAAATCGTTTAAGCTTTTTAAAATTAATTTCATTTTACCAATCTAAAAGTATCATTAACTTTTCCATTCTTGATTATATTAATTTTTTTTTACTACTTTAATTATGTCATAGTTTTAATATTTTGCTTTGTGAGAGGCTTATATTAGCATTAGGATACTGAAGAAGCGTTAAATTTATTTTTAATCCTACCCAGGTTCTGTTCTGCAGAAGTAGCTTTAATTTTCATATTCAAAAAGGAGTCTTTATTAAAATTATTTAAGAGTAAAAAATCTTTTCAAGGTCAAATTTAAAATTTATGCAATGAAGGGTTAATATAATTGGGCTGTTATTCACTAACCAATTAAACAAATGCAATTGTTTATTTTAGATTTAGATCTGTTCAATACGTTTAAAAACTACGAAACAGCTGCAAATATTAATATTCCAGTTGTTGGTGAATTCATAGCTAATTTTATTAACCAAAAACTCCCTAGGCATATTTACATTCATTTAATAGGACACAGTTTAGGCGCACAGATATCTGGGATTGCAGCTAGAAAAATTAAAGAATCATCTGGAAGAATCATTGATAGAATATCAGGTACGTTGTACATCATTTTCAATCACTTTAACGATTAATTATAACAATTTGTTATTTGTAATAATAGTAATCCTATTAACACACTATTTCTATATATTTTTATAGCTATTGACCCAGCTGGTCCAATATTTGAGTACAGTTCTTTTTTGTTTACCGTAAATAATACAAACACTTTAAGGAGCTCTGATGCCAAATTTGTTGACGTTATTCATGCAAGTACGGTACTGGGGATGATAAATGAAGTTGGACATCTTGATACGTACATTTATGAAACCGATTGCAGTATTTTTAATCCGTTTTGTACACACCGCAGAGCTGTTCTTTTTTACCAAGCATCGATAAACAAATGTTCGCAACTAACATGTTCACATAAAAACTTATCGTTAAATGGTCAATGCATTATTGATACAAATAGCGATTTGTCTAGCTTAGGATATTTAGCACATATGTATCAAGGAAGAGGTAAACATATTGCTCGATTCTACAAAAGTTTGTGTTTAGCATACTTGAATGTAGAATTACCAGCCAAAAAAAGAATTTGCCGAGAACCTCCGTCACCTGATAGCAACTGCAAATTTCAACCGTATGAATCTAAGTGTTATAAAAATGAAACAAAATTAGTGTGTAAATTAGACAAACATCAATATCTAATGAATGATTATAATACATCCGACACTAATTCTTTGAAGTTACAAACTGTTACTTGGGTTATTGATGACAACAAAGTCTTGTAGACATTTTAGTATATTAATAACTATTAATAGTATTATTTTACAAGTTGACAAAATTAAAAGTTTACTTTTAATACTCTGTCAATGGTTGTAATTTACATTACAAATTATCTGAGACAGTTATCTATAATTTAAACATGTGATTAAACAACTTATCATAGAATATTACTAAACAAAAGGTTTCTTAACTCTAACTGAAATGATATTTTTCAACGATACGTGAAAAGATAACATGTCATATCTAATTGAAGACATTATTTTCAAAAATTAAACAATTTTCCCTTATTAACTGTAAATTGGGAAAAATCGTAAAAAAAATACGATTTGTAAAATTTTCAACACTTTATCTGTTATGTGTAATCGTAGTTAAAAAATATACTAATTTTGTTTACATACATATTTAACTAGCAGTGGCTTATTGAGAAATTTATAATGGTGGAGCACAAAAAATGTTCAAAAATAAGTTACCATAAAATGACTTTTTTTCTGCTCATAACTTTTGTTAACATATTAAACACATATTTAAGATTTTTTTTTTAAAAATCTGTTATTTGTTTTGAATCCATTTTTATTAATAAAAATATTTCTTTTTATAAAGTGTGTATCTCTAGATTATAAACACTTCAAAAATAGGTAATTAAAGGGACGACTATGCGACCGTCAAATTTTGTTCCATAAGGCAACTACATCGAATAACATTTCATAAACCCATGTTATTATCGATAACCAAAAAATAACTTTTTCTAATGATATTATACATTATTACATTGCTTGATAAAAGATTTACATGACTCAATCAATGGGGGGGGGGCACATAAGCAAGTGCCCCCCTCTAACTACGCCATAGATAACTGGATTATAAAATAATCTATTTAAAATTAAGACTGGTAGACAACAGGTTTTGACCCATTATTTTATTGTTATAAATATTTAAAATATAGAGTAGAGGAGAATAGTGTTATGTTATTTTTATCATTTTAAAAGTTGTTATTGGCCAGTCATTTTCCTATTGAGATAATTTCTTATTTTATTAGCTAGTTAACATT